AATATTAAAATAATATAATTATTTCACAAATTAAATAATGCAAGATGATTACGTAAATTTTAACAAAAATGAGGTTTTTTTTTCCTTTTTAGGAAGCGGAAAACATTGAATTAACAATAAAAATAGCGAAAAATTCACCGCAATACAGTGATAATGATTGCTTACAACTAACTGAGTTATTTGATGCTTCGACTATTTTATCTGATCAGTGCTGTCGACGTTGTCGCATCAGTAAGGATGAATTATGCAAATTACGCATCATTAGAAGGTAACCAATAAGGATGATTTATGCAAATTGCGGATTATTAGAAGGTAATCAATAAAGATGAGTTATGAAAATTATACATCATTGATAAGAGAAAAAAAGCATTTGAAAAAAAAAAGAGGTGAGTGGAAGTTGCAAAATCTATAGGTGCCGAAAGACAAATGAAAGAAAGTTAAAATCAAATACTGTAATTAATTGGAGAATTATTAGAAATAATATTACTCAAAAAAATTAAAACTAAAAAAGTACGTTGCATTGTTGTTTGTTATCATTTAAATTAAAAGAGAAAAGTTTATTATTTGAAAGGAATGATAATTTTTATAATATGCGAATAAAATTATTTCATTCGAAAATTTTTCTTACTGTAATAAATTTTATCCTTACTTTTGTGTAAAGTATATTATTTCAAAAATTATTCAATTTACACATATTATTTTGTAGTTGTGTGAAACAGAAACATAAGGAATGGTTAATTTTGTGTCCATTTAAGAATGAACAATTTGGATGTGCTAAATATTTATGCAAATCTCCATGCATTGATAATGATGTACGGTTTTTTTTTGGGTATTTGAGAATGTTAAAGTTTGTTTATTTTTCAAACAATTTTAGACTTCATTTTATTAATTTTTAATTTAAAACATTAAGGTTACAAAAGAAACAGTAAAATGAATAATAGTAATTTTTCTCATATTGCATTTCTTTTTTTCAGTTTACTGATTAGTTATATTTTAGTTCTATAAAAGTATTTACTACTCTGAAATTGAATATATAAATAAGTAAATAAGCAAATTAATGATGAAATGTAGGAAGGATGGTACTTACGAGCTATATTGGAATTACATATTAATTACAAATTGGGCGTACAGCGTATGTTTGCAATTTTTCAACAAGTAGGTAAAAAATATTTATGAAATTAAGCAATTGAAAATTTTGGATGAATTTTATCCTCTTGCAAATACTACTCAAAGTTTAATTAAGTGAGATTTCATTTTTTCAATCTTTACAAAAATATTTGTCTTTTTATAATTAAATTTAAAATTGACAGTTTTATTTTTGTCCTTTATACAAGTTTATGTAATTTTTGCTGTACTGATACACTACTGAAAATTTTTACATATTCATGCAGAATATTTATACATTTCCATTAACGATAATTAATTAATTTCAATTTATTATTTCATTTCATTATTCTAATATAAATCAAATATTTGCAAAACTAGGAATTTATTTTTAAAATAGTTGGAGTGCTGAATGAATATCGTCAAAGACTAATTGAAACTTTGTTAACGTATAATCCATCAAAGCCATTTCAATACATCGACGATGCAATCAATGATATTGAAGTAAGTAATTGACAAATGTCTCATTTAATTGAATGAATAATTAAAAAAGTACGGATTATTTAAAAATCTACAAAAATTGTATGCATCAGATAATTAAATTTATATTATCATTTTTCTTTTACTTGAGGAAAAGTTATTTGTTAAGATTTGTATTACTTTTTTCATGCAAATAAAAATTATTTACTATATAAACTTAATTATTTTTTCACGTAAATGGAAATTATCTATACCGATAAATATGCATATGTGCACGTATCTGATCTGTTTTATATACACGTAGGCATATTGCTATAACATTGAATTGGAAATGTTCACATATATTAAAATATTCTGAATTTTGGTTTTGTTTTTTTGAATAAAACTATTTGTTCACGACAGAAAATTAGTATTTCAATTTAGAAAATAAAAGAGTAAAATTAATAATTTTTCAGTTGAATGCAAGTGAGAATTGTATCATACAATGTGTCCTAAAAAAAGATCATTACGATTATTTCCTATTCCTCTCAAATGCCGTCATTTCCGTTGTGGTAAAATATATGTAACAAATAATTGCTCAATCATTTAAATTTTAATACTTTTTTGCTCAGTCATTTAAATTTTAATATTCATAGTAGTCTTATGGAAACCTCTAAATTGACTTTTTTTCAGCTTTTAATGAATTATTTGGGGAAAAAAAGAAAAAATGAAAATGAGTAACTTGTGTAATTTAAAATTATTTAAAATTTTTTTGAATATAATTTTGGATTACTTAACTTTTTGTTAACATTTAGAATTGAAAAAATTTTTTGTATAACCTTTACTTAATTTACATTATTTTTTATTTGTTTTCTGAGAGTTACTATTTTTAATTTGCAAATAGTTTTTATAAAAATTACAGTTAATGAAATAATTAACATTATTCACTATTTGTTTTTATTGACTGATAACCAAACGCAGGTAATATTAATAATTTGATTAATTTAAATTAAATTAAATTTTTTAATCTAAATTTCCACCAATATGATTGTATTATTTGTCTTCCCAGTCATATTTTGCAGATTTCAAAACGAGCATCGACCATAGAAATGGCATCAAAAGAAATGAATTCACCGAAATTTTTATCGAAAACTGGAAAAATTACTAGAAATTTGCATAAATCATCTCAAAATAGCGTACTTCTTTTTTATTTGAATTTTTATTGGGTACCGAATAATTTTGATATGATTAATTAGTTAATCAGCTCTAGATAAGTATATATAACATGCATGAAAAAGCAATTTTTCTACATTTCATTGTTTGCTTTAGTAAATTGAATTTTTAATTTAAACAGAGAAATTGTGTTTGAATTGAAAAAAGTTATTCATGAAAAAACAGTTCAATCGAATTTATCAGTACACTTTAATTTTAATCTTCAAATACGAATTAATTATCATATTTCTGTGCAAATTTAAGATCAATCAACAATCTTCCAACGAATATAAATCAATGGAAAAAATGAAATTATTGCATAATATTAACCTTTCCGAAACACATTGGAAAAAATTTCAGCAAACTGATTTGTCGCTCAAAACAATTGTAAAGCTAAAACTTTTTTTTCTCGAAATTAAATTTTCATAAAAATTGAAAAAAAATGGGGCTATTTTATAATCAAATTTTTAAATCTAATAATTTGCTTATAATTAATGGAAAGAAAATATTTATTTTTACTCCTACAATTAACTTTTAAAATTATTTTTTACTCATTTGTTGTTTTTGTAGGAATCGAAGGTTCCATTTGTTAATAGCTTATCGGTGAAGATGCTGAAGAAAGAATGGAATGTTCGTAGTGGTGATATGGTCGTATTATTTGGTACAATTATTTCTGGTAAATTTTTTCAAGTAATTGCCTATTAAAAGTTCAATTGTTACTAAAATTAGTTGTTAAAGTATAAATAATTAAATAATATCTTAAAATCAAAATTATTATAGAAATATGGACAAGTGAGAATACTTTAACAATTAATGATAAATTATTAAATAAGCAATCGGTAAATCAAATCACTGATAATTTCATTTTTTACTTGTTAACTTTTGTAAATTTTATCATACTAAAATAAATGATAAAATACGAACTGTACAGTATCATTTATTATATATTTTCTTACTAATGATATAACCTCTGCATATCATCCTAAATTGCAGGGACAATCATTTAAAACAATAATTCAGGATAACAACAACAAATTCAATAATTGGAAAAAAAAAACCTTGATTTTCAAAGATCAATTAAAGTTTTGATTTGATCAGAAGTTAAGAAGATATGAAAAAATTTATATTTTTAAAACAGCAAGAACTGTTAAAAAAAAGGCAAGTAAAAAGAAAAAAATATATAATTAAAAATTTTGATATACTGAAAATGACGACGAGAAGGAGGAGAAAAGATTTCAGATAATCTCGACTTGAACATTTCATGGTATATCGGTACAAAAGCAGTTACAAATGGTGGCCGATATCGTTATTGGCGGAAAGGTTTCGATTGTTGCTTGGAAATATTCGATTGTGATATATCAGATTCCGGTGATATCGTATGTATTGTAGAAGCACCTAATTGTATCGCTTCTGATATTACCGTACTGCATGTAAACGGTATGTATCACTTCGAATCGGAAGAATATACTAATAGTAAAAGATATAAAACATTTCCAGAATATGTTCTATTTTAAGAAATTTGAAAAGAAAAAAATAATCCATTCTTCATTTTTAGCTATCATATTTACAGATTGAAAAAAGTTAATTTTTTTAAAAATTAAAAACAGGTTAAATTTCACTTTAAAGTGCAGAAATATGTTCCTTTTTTTTGCAGATGACGATATGGCCGGAATTGAGCCGAAATTTCTTCAAATGTTGAAATATGATGAAATTTATGATTGCTTACAATTGATATGTCGAGTATCAGGCTATCCAGTACCTTATGTTACCTTTCATTTTCGTAATCGTCGTATTATCAGCAATCAACGTATAAGTAAGTTTTGATAAGACATTATTAAATTATGCTAATAAATTGGGAAAAAAACAGAAGGTTTAAAAAAGTGATCATTTCATATTTTTATCAAATTATTTTTGATTACTGCTCAATCAGGTGATGATATTGATTGTTTTGGAAACCTTTCGCAACTTTTAAAAAATCTTTCAAGATCAAAAATATAAATTTATTTTGAATTAAAATGAAGACGATATGAAAGAGGAGAAAACAGGGTTAAATCTTGAGTTGTTAAGCAAAACTGGAAAATATTGAGTACTTGTACTTGCAATTTAGTAAAATTCGTGAACGTTTAATTTTTATACGGAATCATTGCACATAAGATTCTTGCACATGTAATTCATACATAGTGTTCCTGCACAAGTACAGATTCTCACATGCGATTCTTGCATTGTGAATCTTATGCAAAATTCTTGTACGTAAAATTCTTACACATGCAATTTTAACAAAGATTTTTGCAGTAAGATTTTTCAATTGATTTTTGCAGATCTGATGAAAAATTACAAACTAATTTAAAGTTATTATAAAATTACTCCAATAAATTCATTCAAAAACTTTTCATTAAAATTACTCCAATAAATTCATTTCTTATACATGAGATCAAGAACAATAGTTGTCATCAATTGTTATAGAAAATAAAATTTTGAAGAAAGTATGACATAATTTTATGATTTTTGAAAAAAATTTCACTTAAAGGTATCGATCGGAAAAATGATTGGTGGATATTACAGATCAAGGATTGTACGGTTGATGATGAAGGTAAATATGTAGCCGTTGCGAGAAATCGTATTGGACGAATCTTTTCATCTTGTTTGGTGATATTAAGTAATAAAAATCCAGCTACCTATATAGCAGATGTATAGGAATTATTCTATCAAAACTTACCGTAACTTGCTATTATTGTTTTTAAAATTTTTGTAAATTTAATTAAATGCTTTTAAATAATTTGAAGTTGCTCTTACATCATTTTAGAAATTTACTTTCATAAAAAACCAAAAACAAAAAATAAATTTTTGTTCTATTGATTTATTTTGAAGGAATTTATGCAATAAATAATTCATCAAATCATATTATTAAACCAAATGAAAAAAATGTTTGAAATAAATTGCATTATTTATTGATTTGATAATATTGCTAGAAAAAGTAATATAAAAAAGAGATTTAATTTTTATGAAGTTACATCTGTTAGAATGTACATGTATAACTTTTACCATTACTTGTCGTTACATTTCTAATATTTCATTTGTTTGACCTTTTATTAAAGCTGGTTGTAAACTTGATCCTTCATGATTAACTAAAGCAATAAATAACAACTTATGCTAAAGATTTTAGCACTTTTATATTTATAAATTTTGAAATGTTAAAATATTTTAAATATATATCTAAACTGCATTACATTTTAAAAGTAAAAAATTTCGCCCAACACCATTCATTAACGCACGTATCACGTAGTGACACGTACTCCATTTGTTCACATTCTATTTATGAAAAGCACTGATTTTGCCTATTTACCCATCGTCTAAAAACGTCATTCATTATTCACAATCTGAAGGATGTGCGTGAAGTGTTTATGTATATTTTGGAAAATATACTACCATGGGCTACAATTTTATACCATAAAGTACCACAACTTGTACTGTAAAATAAATTTTCAAGTGTCTCACATAAAATAAAGTACTATACATCTGAAAACAATAAAGTATCTCAAAATAGTGAAGTTATTGTACAAAAAAAGACGTCATATATTTGAAAAGTAATAATGCAAAAATATCACAAACTTACAATAGGAAAATAATATCATACAATTGGAACTAGCAATTCAGAAGAGCAAAATTATCTGACCTTAAATTTGCATAAATCTATTTTGCCATACAAATTATCATTTCCTCAAAATTCATGTATATAAAACCATGAAAACACTAACGAGTTTCATTTCTTTTTTCTTAATAAAATTTATCGTTATATTCTGTTGAATTGTACGATGGTGGAGAAGGAACGCGAAATAACGTTTAAGTCATACTGTAATGAAAACTGTAACGTGGGAGTAAGCAATATTTATGATGATTCTGTCGATGATATACTATGTGATTGCAATATTATCACTGATGATAATGATCGGTAAGGAAATATTACATTTTGGAAAAATGTAAAGAGTAGAAAAAAAAACATTCTTATATCCAATTTACCATAATTATGAATAATAAATATCTCTTTTTTTATTACTTAAATAACGAAACTCGACTTTTTATTTATTATTCATAATAAAAATCAATAAAAAAATGCTGCTGATATATTTATAAATATTTTACCGTATCATTTTTGTTTTTCCTCATTCATAACAAAGTTAATGCAAATGATGCGTGTAACGGTAGTTTACAGTACTATCAATTAGCAATGATAATTATGCATATTGTGATATAATTTGCAATTGTTTGTTATTTATTCATAGCACATAAAAATATAATCTATAATTATTTATAATGTTATTATTTATTAAAATACAATTAAATATCTTTTAACAGCTTACATTTACTGCACCATATATCGTAACTGCCATACTGTACATGTTATTGTAAACGAAAGTAATTTATATGGTTAAAATAGATAAAATGTACTCGTTTTAGATATCGATTAAATAGTCGATTTATTGAACATCGTTGTCCTTATCTGATTCCATTCATGCATTTTGATGAAATAACCCAACGATACACCATACATACATCAGTTTCAATTGATATTGTAAATTCATTTTTATTTTAATCATTTTAAAATCTTTGGAATTATATTTGGATTGACGTTGCCATATGATCTGATAATTGCACATATTGTAAGTAAATGATTCTTTTTTTGTTTTTCATTTTGAAAAGATAAAAAATATGAAATTAATTAATTATACTTTTAGATAAAGGAAATATTTTATGCTTTGAAATATGAAAAAACAAATATCAAAGATTGGCTTCAGTTAGAGCGAATTCTTAGAGTGGTATGCATATTTTTCCTATAATGAATGCTATTATTCCTTTATCATTCATTTACAAACTAAGCATTATCAGCAGTATTAATAAAAAGCTTTTGCATAAACATGTAAGTTATTTTAACGTAAATGAAGGACAAAAACAATCTGCAGTACTAATCATTTAGTAATCCTATTTATTCACTTTTTACATGAAAGTAATTTAAGTTGTTAGCTTTAAACGGCTGAAAAATTTGCTATAATTATTGAAAAATTATGCAAAAATTTCTCATTTGAGTTTCAATGATTATACTATCTTTCAATATTCTAAATGAAGCAACTGTATGTAGACCAAAATTTGACAAAAATCTTGTTTTTTTGAATTTCAAACCTTTTTTTGAAAATTTTTCAAAATATAAAATTTAGGCAAATGACTGGAAATTAGAAAGCGTAAAGCGATGTATCGTGCAAAAATTTATTGATGGTATCAATGAGGAAAATTGTATTGCTGTCTGGCGAATGTGTACCAAATATTTGCCTGATCAAATAAAAAAAGTTTGATTAAAATTTTTCGCCATATTCAGAATTAAATTTAAAAAAAAAAGAACAAAAAAAAGCAAATAGTTTTTTCCTTCATTGGTGAACAAATGGAAAAAAAGAAAAAATCGATATTGTTTTCTTCTAGTATTCAGTTTATTAAGTTATAGGCTTTCGAATATGTATTGTATACAGTGAACACATCTGTAAATAATGGTTATAATCTTGACTATTTCCGCCTCGATAGTGATAATTTATTCGAAATTTTGAACGCAGATTTATTAAAAGTAAATAATGAGGTATATCATTTAGTGCTAAATATTTTTAAAAAAAATAGCATAAAAAAAAAGCATTTTAAGATAGCATAAAAAACATTTTCTTAATCGAAATGGCAGACAGTTTTTTTTTTGCTGAGTTCTAAATTTTTTTAAAAATTTTTTTTGCTTAATTCTAAGTCTTTTTTTTTTAAAAAAAAGTAAAAATGTTATTATTATGTTCATAAATACATCAGATGGAAGTTTGGATTCTTCTCAAACGATGGATTTTGGTGGATCGTAAAAGGCGCATACCATACTATCATGAATTATTGAAATCTATTCGCCATAATTTACTCAATGATCAGCAGGTTTAGCAAATTTTTCCCTTAATTCTATGCTATTTAAATTATGATTTCAAATTTAACATCTTTTTTTTGTTATCAAAGTTCTTAATAATAATAATTACAATAATAATAATTCTGATTATTTATTATTATTACTATTATGATTATCGTTATTATTATCATTATTATCATCACTATTATTATTATCGTTATTATTATCATTATTATTATCACTATTATTATTATCGTTATTATTGTCATTATTATTGTCATTATTATTATCATTATTACTATCATTATTATTATCATTACTATTATTATCATTACTATTATTA